GTCCAGTTGCATTATTTTCCTGCAAAAGGTCAAATTTTATTCTTCTCAATGGATAATTAAAATTCCATTGTGTATATGTACCATATTTTCTTTATCCATTCGTCTCTTAATGGACATATATGCTGATTCCATTTCCTGGCTGTTATGAATAGTGCAGCAATAAATATGGATGTGCAAGTGTCTCTGTGGTAGGATGTAGAATCCTTTTGATATGTATTCAGAAGTGGTAGAGCTGAATCATATGTTAGTTTTGTTTTGATTTTCCTTATCTAGCTTCCACAGAAGTTTCCACAGTGACTAGATAAGTTCACATTCCTCCCAGCAGTGTATGGGTTCCCTCTTCATGTCATCCCCACCAGCATTTGTTACCATTTCTTTACTTAATTGCAGCCATTCTGACTGGAATGAGATGGAGTCTCAACGTTATTTTAACTTACACTTTCCAGGCAACTCTGGATGTTAAATTTTTTTTATATGTTTATTGGCTGTTTAAATCTCATTTTTCAGAATTGTCTATTATTTTCATTAGCATAATTATTGATTGGATTATTTAGTTTCTTGGTATTTAGTCTTTTACATTCTCTCTATTCTGGATACTAGAACTTCGTCAGATGTAGAGCTAGCAAAGATTGTCTCTCATTCTGTGGGCTGTCCCTTCATTCAATTGCTTCCTTTGCTTTGCAGCTTTCTTATTTCCTGAAATCTTATTTGGGAAATTTGAGTTTTGTTTCTTGGGCTACTAGAATCATTTGTAGCAGGTTCCTGCCTTTGCTGCATCTTGAAGTATCTTCCCTATTCCTGTGGTTTGCTTATCACATGATCATTAAGTAGTCACATATGACTATAATGATTTGTTAAATAACTTTACATTTGTGCTTCCATTTTATGAAAGTAAATGTTTGTCAAGGTTCTCAGGGAAAGTACTATAGCTGGTATTAGAGGCTAGGAACAGGGAGGAGAAGGGTAGAGTGAGATTGTATCACAGGTACATTGTCCTTCTGTGAATGCTAATTGGATAGCAGTGCCTTATTAAAGCCACACTTCTTTAAATACTGGATATATTTATATGATTCTTGTATAGTTATCAGACTCTATTTACTTTTATAGACCTTCTCTCTGTGTTTTATCTACATTTT